AATTTTGAGCATAAACCAATCTGGAAGCCGTTAGAATGTGTAGCATCAAATAGAGTATGCCTTTGTCATACTTCTGCGTTGTTATACCTAATAGGAAAAATTCTGGTTTTAACTCTACCACTCGCTCTAGTATTTCTTCCAACCATTCTTTAACCTTAGTCCAAAAATCACAAGCTCGCGGACACTCCCACCACATATGTTACTAGTTTTTAACTGAGAACTAGATCTTTCCTCAAGGTCATCTCTCTGAAGCTATCCCAGCCGAAAGAGGGAAAAGGCAAGGCGGTATACTATCCCCCTTTTCAATGTCTACATTAATCCAATAATACAGCTGCTCATGGTCCCTGCTCATCATCTTCCTGTTCTGACAGAACCAGTGATTTTTGGCACTTTTATATGATTCCCATGTCTTGTTTCTCAGTTAGGAATGAGAAGGGCACTGGTTTTTTTCTGCCTAGAAGATTATTAATGAACAAAAAACAAAAGAGTTCTAGCATTTGCTTGACACCACCATAAAATGGCACAAATGACGATGGGACTCCAATTGAGCATCAATAGCTTGGAGTGCTGTTGCACAGCAATCTATCTTGGAATGCACATATTTTCTATTAGGCTAATGGTGTTAAGGCTAGCTCCAGAGATATTCAATGTTTTTAGCGGTGTTTATGTTTCTCCTTATTTTGTATGCTGCCCAGTGCCCACTGGAGTTGGATGACCAATATAAGGTATTAGTGGCCAAGGCTTCAGCTTCTGTACCGTACTTAGGCATTAAAAATACCAGATCCGCTCAGTGCTTCGGGCCTTCCCTCTGTTTGCAAAGCTTTTTCCTGCAATTCTCGTCCAGGCCTCCCTTTGCAGAGAACAGAGGCCTAAAGTACAGTGAGATCAGGCAAGATCAGTAGCAATAGGTAGGGGAATTTTGCAGAGCCTCTGCAGTCATTTGTAAGTGTGAATGACTGCTGTGGTGCTGCAACATTCGTAATTTTGGGACTTGGGGGGGGGTTAGGTCATAAAGTCAAACGGTCACTAAATGAACTGTCATAACTCGGGGATTACCTGTACTTCTAATTAAACACTAGTTAGAGAAAAACTGATTAAAAAGAAAAATAGAATTAGACAAAGAATGAGATGAAAACAATGCTGTAAGAGAACTATTCCTAAAACTACTAATATTTAGCTTATCACAAAATATCATACAAAAATCAAGGAAATATATACTAAGGAGATGTCCAGTCATTACTTGGTTTAAAGCAGTGGTTCTCAACCTTTTTAATGCCGCAACCCCCAACCGGACGTAAGTCGAGGACTAAACCGGTCGTAAGTTGAGGACTAAACCGGTCGTAAGTTGAGGACTACCCAACCGGTCGTAAGTCGAGGACTTTCCCTGCCCGGGAGCGCCTCGCATGCGTGGTTCCGCCCCCTGCGCCAGCCAAGGCGTAGCTGGCAAGTGGCAGAGACGGAGCAGGCCGACCCACCAGCTGGCCCAGCTCAAGGGAGGTAAGGCACCCGCCGGAAAAGGGGAAAAAAATGGTGGACAGCCTTGCTTGGCGACCCCCGTGAAATGGTCGATCGACCCCAAATGGGGTCGCGACCATAGGTTGAGAACCGCTGGTTTAAAGGTATAGCTAATGTGAATTTGCAAGAGGAAATGTTGGTTCAGGAGCAGAATACCTTACGTTGAATACTACAGGATGACTGGCCAATATCAAGGCAGATCTAAGGAGAGAGGGGAACTGTATTGGACGCAGATATCCTGTTAGATGCTTTGCTACCTAATCTTGTGTTCAAAGGAAGCTCTGTACACTAAAGATTTTATTCCCAAATATGGATGCATAAGATTTCAATGTAGACTTCATTTCAGCGATGCTATCTCAAAACCAACCAATAAGCTACAGTAATAATACACAAATGTAATGCCTGAAAGCAATATTGTTTCTACAAATTTAGGTTCCCCTACATGAATAATAGTATGAAATGAACTTTACCATCCCCATATGGTAAAGAACACATTGGCTATCAAATCCAATTTATGGATTTTCAGAATGTATGTAGTTAGCCCATATGTACTGTATGTATTATTTTTTGGTCAGTATTGTCCATGTCCTTAAAATTTCAAACCTTTTAGGTTTAGCAGAACTGCCTTCAAGGTACATGCTAATGGGATTGCGGCCCAAATATGGTAACATAATTAAAGTCTCTCTCTGTACACATAGATTTATGCAGGATATAATTCTAACATATCTAAAGGCACCCAGGCTGGAGAAGACTTCTAGAAACAAAAATATTGAGCATATAGAATAGAATAGAATAGAATAGAATAGAATAGAATAGAATAGAATAGAATAGAATAGAATAGAATCTGGAAGGGACCTTGAAGGTTTTCTAGTCCAACCCCCTGCTCAAGCAGGAGAGCCTATACCATCTCAGATAAGTGACTGTCTAGCCCCTTTTTAAAAATCTCCAGTGATGGAGCACCCACGATTTCTGGGGGCAAGCTATTCCACTGGTTAATTTTCCTCACTGTCAGGAGGATATATAGATTCATATTCTGGAACAGGAAAGAAGGTAATGATTTTAGTGTGACTGATTAGGCACATATTAGATTTATCTTCATTGATATGGTCACTAAAACAGCAATTTCATATTTGTCTATTGTGTATTCTATTCTACCACAAGATGGCATGTTTGCCCTCTAGCTGTTCTTTTTGGCCTTTTAATTTTGTTATTGCTTCATTATTTCAGGTCTGATACATGGTCCATTAATTTATCATTAGTTCCTCAAATTTACAAATCAAAATAGGAAGCATTGGGTCTTTCTAACAACCCATTACTTAACTGGAAATGTTGTGTGAGTAATTTCTGTTCAATTTAGTTGTATTCATTTTTTTTCCACTCAATAAAAATGGGTTTTTACTAGTCAATTTATTTTCTATATTCCCCTTTTTAGATTTTAATGATATTATGCCAGTTTATTTGGGGAAGAATGCCGGTTAATATATTGCTGGTTACTAAAGACATATAAGGCAAACACTACTAACCAAGATTGTGGGCTAGTTCTTAAAAACAGCAGCTGAAGCAGTAAATCTGCACATTCTCAACTTCAGTTTACAACTGGAAGTTCATGTTGATTCCTATAACAAATCCACTCTCATGTGACACATGTCTGACTTGAAAGCCCCTATATTAAAATGATCAGAAATTGTACAGCTTGATAAAGTATTCCATTTAGCTTAACCAAGTCCATCTAATGCAGGGGTGTCAAACTGCCAGCCCACGGGCTGGATGCGTCATACCAAAACTATGCCCACCCCATTGCCGGCAATGGAAAAAAAGTCGCGATATGGCGCGACACGTCACGTGACATTGCGAGTTTGACTCCCTTGATCTAATGCAAACTAGTGCTCTGTAGATATGTTGAATTCCTGACCAGCAAAACTGCTGAGAAAGTAGGCTGCAACTATCACTCAATGCTTCCAGATGATACCAGGTTACAAAATATAACCTTAATGTAATATTCATTCATTCATTCATTTATTCATTCATTCATTCATTTATTTACTTATTTTTCT